TAAAAATTACAATAGTTATTTAATGCTTTAATGTTAAAATTGAACTAAAATACAATTCATTCTAAATATTAAATTATACTATAAAAATTAAAATTACCAATTTTAAATTTAATCTATATTAAGTTTAATATATAAATAACACACACACACACACACACACACAAACACATATATATATATATATATATATATATATATATATATATATATATATATATATATATATATTAAGAACACCAAAGCGGTCATAGAGTTTTAAAAATATAAAAAACAAAAAAATTAAATCCACTTTCATCCAATTCGGCATAGTGGATTTCTATCATTTATCACTGAAAACATATTAAATGAAGCTATACAACTGGCACAGCTACATGTAAAAATCACGGACGGAGATATAAAAATAATCAATCATTGCCGCACATCTCTGCTGTTTCACAAAAGTGAACCATGGGCAAAGAAACAAAACCACGACCTGTTTGATGTGTACAATGGGTAGCTAAGATGGATCAAATATTCGAATTAGTAGGCATACTCATCCTATCATACCTGGCCAGAATCCTTGAGATAAAGGACACGGGATTATACAGAGATGGCGGTCTTATCTTAATAAGAGAATCCAATGGCCCCAAATTAGACAAATTTAGGAAGAAAATAGTGAACTCCCTAAAAAATGTTGGATTCAAAATAGAGATAAACGCAGTCACAGCAACAGTAAACTTCTTTGACGTCACTCTTAACCTGAACAACAATACATGCGAACCGTACAAAAAAGACAATGACATCCCTACACACATCCTCCAACCACCCACCTTCAATCATCAAACAAATACCCATATCAATCAGCCGCAGACTATCTGAGAACTCATCTAACATACACATTTTCAATAAAAAAAAAGCACCATACAACGAAGCACTAAAAGCAAGTGGTTACACACAACAACTATAATATACACCTCCACAGCCAAAACGCAAAAACAGAAAAAAAAATATCTCTTTTAATCCAACATAAAACACAACCGTCAAAACAAGCATAGGGTAGACATTCCTAAACTTAATAGAAAACTACTTCACTGAAACAAGCCGATTAGCAAAAATATTCAAAAATCATTTAAAAATCAGTTACAGCTCCACAAAAAATATAACAGAAATAATCAAAAGCCACAACAAAAAAAATGACAACCTACAAAAAAAATAAAACCAAGGATCCAAAATGCAACTGCAGAAATAGAACAACATGTCCACTCCAGGGAAATTGCCAACATACGAACACAATATATAAATCCGAGGTAAGTGCAAACAACAGCATAATGTACTATATCGGTGCCACTGAATGTCCATTCAAGAAGAGCAAAAACAATCACAACCTTTCATTCACCAACAGGAAATACTCGAAGAGAACTACACTATCCACATACATATGGCAGCAAAAAGACAAAAATATCACACCAACAATAAGCTGGAAAATATTGAAAAAAAACCTGCCTACAGCAACATTACAAAAAAATGCCTACTTTGCCTACACGAAAAAAGTAGCAATAATATCCACACACCGCAAAAAAGAATTTACTAAACAAAAAATCAGAGATAATCTCCAAATGTAGGCATGAGAATAAGTACCTATTATCCGAATTTATACCAAACGGATAAAAAAAAAACAAAAAACCAACAATCACTTTTATTTCAAGCTACCATCACAATAATTACATTTATTGTTATTATCATTGCACCACCATTAGTAATCACTTCTACCACTTTACAATAACTATTAGCTACTAATATTATCATTACCACCAACACCGACACCATTACTACCACATCACATCTACTATTAACATATAAATCCACTATAATTATTAACGTAAATTACTCCCCCAGCATATTTAATACCACCAAAAAAAAAACCAATAAGATCAGAGATAATTTCCAAATGTAGGCATGAGAATAAATACCTATTATCAGGATTTATACCAAAATAAATAAATATAAAAAAAAAATAAAAAAAATAAAACAAACAATCACTTTTTAGTTCAAATACCACCACAATAATTACATTTATTTTTTTATCATTCTCCCACCACCATTACTAATCACTTCTACCAATTTACAATAACTATTAACTACTTATATTATCATTGCCACCAATCCCCCTACAACATTACTATCACATCACATCTACTATTATCATATAAACCCGCTATAATTATTAACGTAAACTACCCCCTCCCCTCAGCATATTTAATACCACCATAAAAATAACCAATAAGGATTACAAACTGCAATTTCTACCAGTCGCATATACACACTCATCAAAAACAAGCAAATAACCAGCTTTAAAATAATAACAAATAAACTTTTTTTTTAAATTAAAAATAAAAATAATAGTAATTTTACCTATCATAATTTTACACAGACCCCACCACACGTATATACGTACATGCGAGGAAATATTATTCAGCGAAAAAAAATAGAAAAATGCTCTGATTGCTGACATGTATACATTCATTCAGACATTCACGAGAAATTTTCGCTACACTTCCAATCTTTGAATTTCAACATACAAATGCGTATGTATAGACACAACACCACCCATATACATACATATGTCAAATCCCAAACTGTCCACATATGTTTATATCTGTATGAGTCCCCGGCGGACGAGCAAGTGTGTATGTGTGTCTGCGTACATCGGGTGTACATCATCTATGTTTGCGTTACGGACATGCATCTATGTTTGCGTTAGCATGATGACATCTACATAAATCCAAAATTTTTAAAAATTGATCAGTTTGTCTGACGATCGCAAAAGCGTGAAACCCATAACAAACCAATACACGCAATCTATATAAATATATATATAATATTTAAAAAAAATAATCAGTTTGACGTATGAGGATCGCAAAAGATTCAGTTAAACCCAGGGTCACATTCAACTCACATTTAATCCAACCAAATTTATAAAGGAGGCCATATATATATATAGTGTATTTGTTATATAGTGTAATCACTGTTATAAATAATTGACCTTTTAGATCTTGCTATATCGCTTCTTGAAGGTGATTCAGACAAGCAAATTGAAAATTTCTGAGTCCACTAAAACACGTTATCTCCATTCTACCCGCTCCAAAGCTAAGCGCGCGAGGATGTTATGTGGTATATTAACTGGTGATAAGTTGTTTTTCAGCTTGTCTTTGTATCTTAGCCATGGGCGTCCTTATTTCCTGGAACAAATATGATCTAACTGGCTGTACATTAGGATCATGGGTATCCTGTCATCAGACATTCTCAAGACATGAACAGTCCAGCGTAACTGAGACTGTATGATAAAAGTCTTGATTCCTCCAATATTACACCTATTGTTATATTATAATAATAATAATAATTATATATATATATATATATATATATATATATATATATATATATAATGATCATGTCAGTTGTGATAACTGTGTCGGTTTTTTCCGATTAAAGGGACACAACTCTGTAACTTTCAATAGCTCATATTACAGAAATTTTAGATTCCCAAGTTTTCATTACTGCGATTGATTTCGACGATTATTTTACGTGATTTTTTACGACGAATTTTTTGCACGATAACAAATTTTATGACTTCGAATTAAATTTGGGAATAATCAAACTTAATTGCGAAATCCATCGAAAGTCACCCATGGAATAGAAACACTTGTTTATACGGAATGTAATGACCTACGTACATCTAATTCTCTTTAAAATAAGTGGCAGCAGAAGAATCATCGTTGAACTTTTAAAAAGGTAAACTTAAATATTAAGCAATATTTAAATGCAGCGATCGATTTTGAGTCCTTCTGTAGTTCATTGTTGCACACGGCAGCAGTATGGCCTGCAAAAGTATAATCTCCGCCAACAGAGGACCAGATTGCAATCAAAAGAGCCAATGTTTCCGTGAGCAAAAGAAAGTCCGTGCAAATGAAAACCCGCATTAAACGACAATCAGCAGAGCTTCCAATGCTGAGAATATGCAAAGAATTAGGGACTTATTATCCTGAACAAGCCGAAGACCCAATCAAGAGCAAGTGGGGTAGTTTAAATGACCCGATATATGTATAGATATTGATTTGTATTTTACGGCTTTCAACCCTCTGCAAGTTATTTCAAGCAAGAAAATATTTTGAGATTGTAATTTGGTTGGGAAATAATAATGATTTAGTGATCCACACCTTACTAATTAACCCATAGCAGGAAGAAAAGAGGTGGATTCATACCTTTTCTAAAGATATTTGCGGACCCACCTGAAACTGGAACTCGGCTCTCTCGGCTAATCTTAACCCGTATCCATTACACCAACCGCACATCCTGGTATTTCCAAGCGGTCAGCATCGAGGTATTGACAAAGCTCAACGTTGCTTACCTTTTGAGATCGTGGGGGAACCGGTCCTTCAACGTTATGTCGCCGTAAATCAGAGACAGATAGAGTGTGTGTGTGTGTGTGTGTGTGTGTGTGAGAGAGAGAGAGAGAGAGGGAGAGAGAGAGAGAGAAAATGAGAAAGAAGGTGAAAGACTGAGGTAGTAAGTAATAGAATGGAAAAAGAAAGAGATGATGAACGAGTGAGGGTGAATGTCCGAGGAAGTGAAAAAAGAAGAAAATTCGACAGAATGAAGACGTAAAGAAACGAGAGGAGAATGAGAGAGAAGATGAAGCGGAGATACGGAGGAGAAAAAATCAGACAGAGATTAAAAGTAGAAAGAATGAGGATTTAAAAAGATTTATAGTGAGAGACGAAAATTGTTTAAAAATGAGAAGGAAAACGAGAGAGAAAAAAGAAAGAAAGTATGAAGTGTAAAATAGACAGGAAATGAGAGAAGTGAAAAGAAAAAGATAATAAAAGGAGAGAGAGAAAAGAAAAAAAAAAAAAAAGAAATCAAAGAATGAAAGAGAATGGGGTAAAAAAAAGAAAAAGAATAGAAAGAAAGAATGAAAGTCTTAAGGAAAGAAATATGAAGAGAAAATTTGTGAAAAAAAATTAAAATTGGAAAAAAAAAAGAAAAAAAGAAAGAAAGAAAAAAAGAAAAAGAAAGAAAAAAGAGAAAAAGAAAAAGAAAAAGAAATAAAAAGAAAGAAAAAAAAAAGAAGAAAGAAAGAAAGAGAAATGGAAAGAAAGAAAAAGAGAAAATTTAAATAAAGAATTTAAAAGGAAGGAAAGAAAGAAAAAGATGAAAAAATAAAAAGACATGAGATGATAGGCGAGAAAGAGTAAAGAGAGAAAAAGAAAGAAAAGTATGAAAGAGAAAGGAAAGAAAGAAAAAAAGAAAAAGAATTGAGAAAAAGAGCGAAGGAAAGAAAAAAAAAGAGAAAAAGAAAGAAAGAATTCTGTGAAAGAAAAGAAAAGAAAAGAGAAAGTAAAAGGAATCAGGTGGTAAAAAGAAAGAAGAAAAAGGGAGAAAAGAAAAAAAGAATGAGGAGATAAAGAGAAATCAAGAGAAGCTGAAAGAATGGGGGGTAAAAAAAGGGAGGAACAAGAGAGAGAGACAGAGGAGAGAAGGGGGGAAATAAAGGGTTTATAAAAGAAGACAAGAGGAGAGAGAATGCTGTCAGAATGAGGCTGTAAAAAGAGAGGAAAAAGAAGAGAGTGGGAAGCGAGAGAGACAAGAATAACAAAGCATGACGAAAATGAGAACGTGAGAGAACGAACTGATAAACAAAAGAGAGAGAGAGAGAGAGAGAGAAAGAGAGAGAGGCGAGAATCTGTTTTAGAAGAGTCCTTTGCGTTTGATTGGATTCATACAGAATTCTTTATGATGAGCAGCTGGAACCTGAACAAAGTGCGAGTGCACTATGGAATTAGTGCCTTGAAATGACGAGTTTGCAAGAGATAACAATGATTTTAGGAGATGTGGAAATCAACGACTGATTTTCTTGCAAGACATCTTTGTATCCATATGATGCAAATGGGATTTAGCAAATGATCACTGAATTAGATCGGGAGTTCCTGGCATAATGTGCAAATCATTGTTTCAGTCAGTTATTGACGCATTGCTTGTCTGGTCAGTGGTTCCAAAAAGGTCTGCAATTTTCTATCTATCTATCTATCTATCTATCTATCTATCTATCTATCTATCTATCTATCTATCTATCTCTGTCACTGTTCTCGTTTTTATCTATCTATCTATCTATCTATCTATCTATTTATCAATCTATCTATGTGTCTGTCTGTCACTCTTCCCGTTTTTATCTATCTTTATCGTTTCTATCTATCTATCTATCTATCTATCTATCTATCTATCTATCTATCTTCTCGTTCCTATCTATCTATTTATCTATCTGTCTGTATGTATGTCTGTCTTCTCGTATCTATCTATCTATCTATCTATCTATCTATCTATCTATCTATCTATCTATTTATTGTCTATCTGTGTGTGTTCCTTATCTATCTATTTTTATCTATCTATCTTTCTATCTATTTATCTATCTATCTATCTATCTTAAATCTATCTATCTATCTATCTATCTATCTATCTATCTATCTATCTATCTATCTATCTGTCTTCTGTCTTCTATCTATCTATCTATCTATCTATCTATCTATCTATCTATCTATCTATCTATCTATCTATCTATCTCCTGCTATCTATCTATCTATCTATCTATCTATCTAACCATCTTCATCTTTCTATTTCTCCAAAATATTCTTCAGGTGGATTTCTATTTCTCTAAATATTCTGTTTTCTTTCTTTCTTTCTTTCATTCTTTTATATTCATCTATCATATCTATCTATATATATATATATATATATATATATATATATATATATATATATACACACAATTGTGGATAGATTTCTTCAAACTCACTGAATATTTATATATTTTCTAATGAAATATGAATAAGTCCAAGTACTTACTGAATTTACCATAAATAATTGATTCCGTATTTAGTTTTGTATAATTCGTGATTTTTTTAGAAGTTTCGATCTATTATATTCATAATTATAAAATTTTGCAAAAACTGGTCTTGTCCAAAATTATTCACCATCCACCATGGTAATTACGAAATATTATTACTCTATGTCAATTGCAATCTTTTTTTTTTCATAATTTGACAGTTTATACGAACACCCTTTGAAAATGATATAGTATTAATCTGATTCCCTAATATTCTATCTATCTATCTATCTATCTATCTATCTATCTATCTGATTATGTTTCTGTCTATCTATCTCAATTTAATGCTATCTGTGCATGTATATTTTTCTCTACCTATAGTTGAGAACGCCTGTAGTAGACGTACTTATCATCTTTTGTCCTTTAATGTCCTTTCAGGACATGGGTCTCCACAGCTTCTTTTCTTTTATTACCCTGTAACTTTTGATCCTTTACCATCCAACTTTGTACTCTGTTCTGTCATCCATTCACACAAACCTTTATGTGCCGTGTCCCTTCAGGACGTAGGCGATCATGGCTCTCCACATCTTCCTGTCCCTTGTAGCTCTTAATAAGTTTTATCTTTTGCTTATTTCTCCGAAACCCTGTTCTATTATGCATTTACTGAAACTCATCATGTTACGCGTGTCATTCCTCTGTTTCTCGATCTGTCCTGTGAGTATTAGATTTTCCAAGCCTTCCTTCCTCATCACGTGCGCTAGAAATGTCAACTGCCTCTTCCTGGTGTTAATTCTGTTTCCTTTTTTGTTTCTATTTTCTCCAAAACCGCGTTGTTGTGCACATGTTCGGTCCATTGTATCCTCAGCATTCGCTGCCATACAGGAGGACAGATATATCCAGTACCGTAATGCTTTCCAACAAACAAATTCAAGTATTTGAAATGTACTATTTTACTATAGTTTTCCAAGATTTCCAGGATAATTGAGGTTTTCTTATGAATTGGTAATCTGTGAGGAAAGTGTCCAGCATTCAATGTCATTTGGGAAGGTCGATATTAAATCGTAGCTCACCACGCTTTCCTTTGTTTCTACCGAAATTTCCATGTTTTTTTAATAGTTTGCTTAGCTTTTGGAAGGCATCTTCCATTAATACAATATATATACCTTTGCATACTCCATCGACAGTTATAACACTTCTCAGATAGCTAATTTTCTGTACTTTCTTGATTCTGACAACTCCAATTCGTAACTCGCATCTTGAGTTGCCCCTTTTGCTTACAACCATGCATTGTCTTCACCTAATTAATGGTTCCCTTTCTTTTCTATATTGTCTCGAAATTATTGTAGTTTTCTTTCTTCGTCCTTCATAAACACGATGTCATCTGAATATTTTATGCTGTTAAAATTGTGGCCACCAATAATAAATCTTAGTAGTAATTCTAGTTCTCCGACGATTAACCCAAAGATTGAATATATCTAGTGAGAAGACGTATTCCTGACTTGTGTAACTTTCTTATTCTATTGAGCTCTTTAATTGGGGTCTTTTTTCTTTCCTTATTTTCTTCATTCTTTTTTTAGGGTGAGGGCTTTTCTTTCTTTCTTTCTTTCTTTCTTTCTTTTGGCGTCTTTCTTCTTTCCTCATTTTCTTCATTCTTTTTTGAGGGCGAGGGCTTTTCTTTCTTTCTTTCTTTCTTTCTTTCTTTCTTTCTTTCTTTCAAGCTTAGTTGCTTACATTCTTTTCTGCTTTCCTTCTTCCATTCCCAAGCGGTCTCCCCTTCGGTGCTTACCTTCGGAGATCGGACAAGAGGCAGTGTTTCAACGTCACATGGCCGTATGTCATATTTGAATTTTTTTCGTGTTCTTCATTTCTAACTTCTATAGCCGCGTTTCATTTGATCTATTGTTAATGAAGCGTAGTCGATACTCACAGAGAGCTCCAAACTTAAGATCTTGTGCCAGACGAATTTGAGCTCACCAGATACAAATAATGCATTAAATCTCTGCTTGAGCCTTATGTCACTGATAGAAAGTTCTTATTGCATATAAGATACTGTTCTCTACCGTCTTTACAAATGACCTTGTACCAGACGAAACAAAGTGGAGTACATACCTATAGATCGCTGTGTTGTATTTGACTCGCCTTTGATAGGCTTTTCAGTTATTGCCCTTCAGAGAAGCCATTTTCATAGGAGGCGTTCTACTAGTATCTGTGTGGTGATCCTCGCTTCAATCGATGTTAGAGGTTGACCGGACATGCAAAAAAGGGGCCGACCCAGCTGCGTCTAAGAGATGTATGCGTGGGAAAAACCGTATGGCAGACAGATATAGAAACGCCCTTGCGAGAAGGAGAATGGGCATTTTTTTCGATCGACACCAGAATATAAAGTGTGCGTTTGGATAGGGTCCCAGGGCTATGCAACCACTGGCCGACAGTAATTTGACCACGCTCAGCATTGAATCAAATAGAACGATACGCATAAGAGATTTTCTCGTGTTTTCATTAATAATGTTCGACGACAACGTTGTAACGGTGTGCCACCGAGGAACACCTTATTCGTCAGGTCATTATTGCTATCTCGAGCAGTATTCTAATTTGGGAAGACAGAATGTGTGGTCTTGCACGGTACTAAGCCATTTAAGCTATATTAATACATACTAAAATTACCCGTGAAAATTTGGCGGTTTTTCTTATTTGAAATTTCTGATAAATCTTAATTCTTCGGTTAATGATTGAATAAGATCATAGCGAGTATTACGACAATAAAACATCCGTAGAAACTTCCTTATCACATCGTTAAAGATTTAGGCCTAACAGCTTTGAAAAAACATTGCAATAACAATTATAAATATGAAAGCTGGTTTTTATTTAAATAATTAAGGGTTTGCAAATGAAAGGATTTCAAATTGCCAACTTTTTTCCATTACTCTGAAACAGACGTTAAGCACTTCTACCTTTCTTTATTTCTTTGTTTCATTTTCTCATTGAAACCAAGTAGCGTCTCTGATATGTTTTTTCCATCTTTCACGCGATTAAAATGGAATAGTCTATTATTTGTGAGGTATTGGCCGGAGATGTTAATCACTTCTATCTTTCTTTTTTCCCAATGAAACAATGTAGCGTCTCTGTTATGTCTTTCCTATTTTTCGACGCGATCAAAACTGGAGAGTGCATTATTTATGAGGTATTGGCAGAAGACGTTAAACTCTTATGTATTACCTTCTTTTTCTTTTTTTTCTTTCTTTTTCTCAATGAAACCAAGTAGCGTCTCTGATATGTCTTTTTCATTTTTCCACGCGGCCAAAACGGAATAGTCCATTATTTATGAGGTATTGGCCGGAGTCATTAAACAAGTCATTCTTTCTTTTTGAAAATGAAATGAAAATATAGTCTCTGATATGTCTTTTTAACAGAAATCCATGCGATCAAAACGGAATAGTCCATTATTTAGGAGGTACTGGCAGAAGACGTTAAACTCTTATGTATTGCATTCTTTCTTTCTTTCTTTCTTTCTTTCTTTCTTTTACTGAAATCATGTAGCGTCTCTGCTATGCCTTTTCCGTCTTTCCACATGATCAAAACGGAATAATCTATTATTTATGAGATACTGGCCGGAGACGTTGAACACTTTCTTCTTTTTCTCACTGAAATAAAATAGTGTCTCGGACATGTCTTTTTCATAATCAAACAAAGTTGATTCTTTATAAATGCAAATATTTCTCAACCTCTAGAAAAATACATATCCACTTAGTTTCCTGTTATAACGTCAACAAAGCAATTTTCGAAGAAGACATGTTTTTTTTTTATTTATTTATTGTTCCGACAGATTTTATTACTTAAACGTTTATTTTGAGCGGGTACCCTATGTAAACGAAAATAAATATACTGTTTAATGTTTAATAGGCTTTTTCCCTATTTCACCTTTCTTAATCGAATTAATTCTCTCCCAAACAAACTGTTGAGTGGTCCACCCTTTTTTATACAAATGGACTCACCCAGTGTATACTTATACTACTGCCAGTGAATACCGGAGAGAACAGAGCAAGAC